TTGGATATTACATTAATTGCGACTCTTTTTCAACACACAGCTTGGAGGAGATGCCCTTCTCTCTTTAGGAAGAGATGATCTTTATAGACTATTCAGACCATGATAATAGAGGGAAATTCAAATAAACATAGAAAGCACCATCAAAAACCAACCAACCCTACAGGAAGGAGGAAACCCGGAACCTCCAGGAAAAAACCTACAAAAACCAACCATAAACACAATAACATTAATGACACACATAAGGAAAACGAGTCTCATCCAAGTATATCAGACCTCTAATATGAAGAGGAAGGTTAGGAACTCTAAAATCCTCGAAAGTCTCCAAGTCACAACCCCACTAAGAAATACCAAGAGCACAAGCATTCACCTCGAACTTAATAATAGAAAAGGTACAGTTGAACATACTTAACCACTGCTTAGTATTCCTCATATAAAACACCGTAGAAGAACAATTACTATCCTTGGTCAAAGAAGAAACCTGATAACAGTGTTGAAAGCCAAACTAAAGCACAATGTTCTTGATATCAAGAGAAAAACATAGTTTCAACCCATAAAGGATTGTATAGATAAAAGCCTCATTCACATCATAGTTGTAGAAGGGACCAACAAATCCCATCATGGCTTTTCCATTATCATCTCTGAGGATACCACCACAACTCCCCGTAGAGCAAATTCTAACAACTTCCATATTAAGTTTAATAAAATTAACCAGAGGCTTCATACAAGAGGTAAAATTTTGACCATTGGTGGAATCATCCCCCCACAAATGTAATACCCAAATTCACTGCAGAAAAAGTGAAATTCTTAAAATTATTAGGCATCAAAATATTAGTAGAAAACATGTCCACCAGCTTATCTTTAATTCTTTGAATAATCCTATTATGATTCATGACAACCCTTTTAAAGCGGGAGTTATTCCTTTCCAACCACAAAAACTAGAGGATAAGAGAAGGAATCACATTCCTAATATGACCTATGGACTTGGAAAACCAAGAGTTAAGAATAGATAATATCAAAGCCTTAGCTTGAAAATAATTTAAATGCAAGATATCATCAAAGTACGTCCAAACTTTAACAACACAAGGGCCAGAATTAAACACATGATGCATATTTTCCAAGTGACAACAACACTGACATTTAGAAGGGAAGATAAAACCATGTTTAATAAAATTGTCATCAGTATGAATAAACTTATGTAAGGTACGCCAAACAAAAATGGAGATCGTCGACGGGATACTTTTATGCCAAATCTTATTAAATAACTTAGGGGCCTCCTACTTAGAATGAAAATAGTACAAAGTGTCTTTTAATCTAAACTTACTATCTTCAGATAAAGCACACATCTGAACATCAAGACAATGAAAGTTTAAAGGAATCAATAAAACTTGCTGAATAATAAAATTAGGTAGAATAGTAGAAAGCTTATAAACATCCCATCCATACTCATTAAGAAAATAATGAACTCTAACAAAAGCAATATAAGTAGTGTTCCAAATAGAGTCGATGTATTGCCCCCCATCCAACAATCATGCAAAAAAAAAAATTACCAGAATCGACACCCCAACAAATACTCGGTTCAACAAACCACTTCACTTTGCAAAGCCGATGCCACACTTTAGAGTTACCTTGACTATAAGAGAACAAGGTGTGATGCTTTTCACCACAGTACTTAGTATTCATAAACTTAGACCAAAGACTCAAATTAGCACAAAAATTGTACCATAACTTAAAAGAAAAGGCAAAAGCCAGGTTCTTCAGTGACTTACAACCCAAAGCCCTTCAACCAATGTGCCACAACAATTTTCCCAAGAAGACCAATGAATTTTAAAATTAGAACTAGTCCCTCTCCAAAAAAAAAACCTATTAAAAATCCTCTCAATCCTATTACAAACAGCCTGAGAGGGCAATAGTGTTTGAAAACTATAAACATGAATAAAGAAATAACACTTTTTATAACTTTTAACCTACCACCAAAGCTTAAAAAAATTAGAATCTTAGGATTGCAATCTATTATAAACTACTGAAATTAAATCATTGAAGAATGAAGAAACCTTTCTACCCTTATAAAGCGGAACACTAAGATACTTTAAAGGTAAGCAAGCATGATTGAAGCCAGTTAAATTCTTAATATGCCCAATACGCACCAAAGAAACCTTATTAGCAGTAATAAAGGCACATTTATTTTTATTCAAAGCCAAACCACTAATAGATTCAAACTGATTAAAAAGAATTAAAAGTCTTTGCATCCTATTCAATGAAGCATTAGTAAAGATAATAAAATCATCAGCAAAGCCTAAATAAGAAATGTGAAACCCACCTAATGTTCTAAAGAAAAGATTAGGAACATTATGAAATAAATTAGCAAGCCCTCTAGATAGATACTCAGCAGCAATAATGAAGAGAGCCGGAGAAAGAGGATCCCGCTGTCTCAACCCATGATATGCCTTAAAGAAACTATTAGCTTTATCGTTGATGGAAAAATAAGGACTTTCATTGCAAAGCTTGATGAGATTAATAAAATGAGAACCAAAACCAAATAACTTCAAAATCTCATAAAGAAATTTCCAATTAATATTGTCATAAGCCTTAGCAATGTCAAGTTTCCAAAATCATGTTCCCGCCACTAGTTTTAATATCCAAATTTTGGTAAAATTCTTGAGCCAAAAGAATGTTATCAGAAATAGAACACCCTTTAATAAAACCCATTTGTAAGGAAGAAATAATCATAGGTAAAAGAAGAGACAAATGATTCATCAAAATTTTAGAAATAATTTTATGAAAAAAAGAGCACAAACTAATGGGCCTAAAATAATTCCAAGAAGAATAAGAATTACTATTCAGAATAAGCACAATAGAAGTAGCAGGGAAAAACTTAGGGATAGTATTACCTTAAAAAAAATTCAATAATGGTAGAGAAAATATCATTACCTATAATATGCCAAGTTGCTTTAAAAAGCTTAGCCGTGAAACCATCATGACCAGCAACCGACTCACTGTTCATAGCAGTGATAGTATCTTATTTTTAGGAGATGCATATAGCAGATATTATTAAAGCAAGAAGAAAGTCCTAGGAAAGAAAAAGTCTATCACATTCCTTCTTTTACACTTTATGAAAAAGGGAAGGAATGTTACAGTTATCCATGCTATCACAAATAAAATCACCTATACAAGCATAGTTAGCACAACAATTGGCTAACTTATTACACTCCCTATTAACAAATTCAATAATGACTTGATTAAAGTATCTAAGAAAGAAAAAGTCTTCTATGTAATGAAAGTTATCTTTAGCTTTCCCATGTTTTATAGCTTCTTGGATATGCTTAAAAACATTGTAGTTATCTCCCTCTATGATGATTCCTTTGACTTCATAAATCCATTCTTAGACTACCTCCTTTAAAGAACTAAAGGCTTACATCTCCAAATCTGTGATATCCCAATGAATACATTTGAATCCAAAAGTAAATAGAAAACTACCTTTACTATCTCTAATAACGCCTCCAATTCCAGCCGAGTAATCTTTATAAAGAGAAGCATCAACATTTATTTTGATCCATTCAGTTGGTGGAGGATTCCAAGTGGATGAAAGCAGCCTAAGCTGATTAGAATCACAGTTGACTGATATAAGATCATAATTGAATGAAGAAGAAGCAAACCTGATAGCATTGGCTGCTGTTACTTGAAAATAATCCTCCTTATCACCGTGAACTACTCTATTTCTGCTTTTCCAAGAGAAGAAGACTAGAGAGCAATACATGTTTCCCAAGAATGGATTTGAAATAGATAAATCCTTCAGTTCCTTATAACAGCTTTCCATATCTGTTAAGTTGGGTGTTAAGTAACCCCATTTATTTATTGTCTTTATCACTTCTTTCAAGTAAATACAATGGATTGCAATATGTTCTTGATCTTCAATAGAAGTGCAACCCCTCGGATAGCCATTATGACTTATAATTCTTCTATACATTAGAAACTCATTAGAAGGAATTGCCTTGTTCATCAATCTCCACCAAAAGCCTTCAACTTTTGGTCTTAATTTCAATTTCTTTATCCATCTCCAACTCTCATCCTCTTCTTCAATTATAGTAGAAAACTCTGAAATCATTGCAGCCAATGATTTACCAGAATATTTGAACATAAGTTCCAGTTCATCTTTTTGAATGTCTTCATGAATCAGGACAGAATAAATTAGATCCACCAATTCATTACCAAAAGTCTGGTGTAGTTTCAATAAACTCCAACTGCCTTCATGAATAAAAAACTCCAACTGCATTGTTCTTCTTGAAGATCAGGAACATAGGAAGGCCATTTGTCAATACTTTTATTAAGGATCCAAGTATCCTTTAAATTATTTATGTTTGTCCCATTCGAGATCTTCTATCTCACAATTTGCTTAAGAAACTTAGCTCCACTTAAAATAATCTTCCATATCGGTGGCACTCCTTATTTTTCTTCAGAAAACCAAAGATATGAACCGTACTTAATAATGAGAATTCTACTCAACAGAGAAGAAGAATTGGATAACAAATTCCATGCAAATTTAGCTCTCCAAGGTCCAGTACTATCAGCTACCGAAATCACACCAAGACCTCCCTATTTCTTCTTCTTACAAAGAGTTTCCCAATCAACATAATGAATACCATTTCTCTTGTCTTATTTCAACCATATAAAATCTCTACTCATTTTGTCTAGTTCTTTCAGCACTCCAAAAGGAACCATAGAATGGGTAGAGATAATGATAGGAATTATAAGGAGAGAAGACTTGATTAATTGTAATTTACCGGACATTGTAAGAGATCCGTTACCCCATATATTAAGTTTGTCATATGCTTTTTTAGCACACTTCCAAAATCAGAAGCTTTTAGTCTTCTTAATGCCATCCTGACCCCAAGATGAGTTAACTCTTTAACTATTTTAATACCTAGGATTTTGGATATTATTTTAGATTTATTACTACTTACCAACTTTCCACAAAGCAATGAGGATTTTTGAGTATTTATTCTTTATCCTGTCCAGTAACTATACTTCTCAAAAATCTTCTTAATTTTGTTTGCACTTCTTTGGCTAGCTTCAGAAAAAATAATCACAGCATCGGCATACTGCAAATGTGAAACTCTATCAGCTGACAGTACCACCTTGATTCCAATCTTAGCTCCTTTTTTATTAAATGCTTCAGTCAAAAGTTGTGAGCACATACTAAAGAGATAGGGTGATAAAGGACATCCCAGCCTAAAACCACATTCTGCCCGGATCCACTTTGTATTGTAACCATTAATAATAATGGAATACTTGGTATTCACCACGCACTGAAGAAGTAGATTCGAGAATGTCCTTGGGAAACCATAAATTTCTAACATTTTCCTCAAGGTTTCCCACCCCGTACTATCATAAGCCTGCTCCATGTCCACGTTAATTGCCATCTTGCTCTTCTTTGCTTTAGGGAATATGAATTTGTTGATAATTTCTTGAGTGAGCATTATGTTTTCTGATATGGATCTTCCCTTTATGAAATCTACTTGATTTTCTAAAATTAATTTGGGGATAATGCAAACAAGTCTATTCACTAGCAATCTAGCAATGATCTTGTAAATAGAGTTACAAAGATTGATGGGCCTATAATTGGATGGAATCATAGGATTTTTCAACTTTGGGATGAGGACAACTGAAGTCTCCCTCCATTTCTCACACATGATCCCTGAACTGATAAATTGACAAATGCCCTTCCATAAATCTTCCTGAATGATAGACCAATAAAACTTAACAAAGGAATAAAAGATACTGTCTAATCCTGGTGATATGTTACCTTCCAACTTACTGATGATTGATTCCAGTTCTTCTTGAGTAAGTTTCGAGCTGAGCAATCTCTAGTCTTCATCACACATAGATAGATTACACCTCATAGCTTTCCACTTCTCTTTGAAGTAATCAAAGAAAATTTCTTCCATTCTATTTTTCTCCACAATCAATCTTCTATCAGGATCTTTAGTTTGTTTAATGTGATTGTTGTTGCATCTAAAAGAAGAAACATAGTGAAAATATTCAGAATTGGAATCACATTCTTTAAATCACTTTACTTTTGCTCTTTGTCTCCACCAAGTGCTAAGCCTTCCCAAAGTGGAGTTTAATTCCTTCACCTTACTTGTAAGAATACAAATCTTATCATCTGATAAGCCTCCTGAAAGAGCCTCTTCTTCTTGTAGTTTGATAATCTCTTCCTTCAAACTTTTCGTCAGGATATTGAGATTAGAATGCTTGGCTTTACTTCAGTGGAATAAAGCTTTTAGAACTCTACTGAATTTGTGATTCAGTATTTGTACAACATCCCTCTTAGTTGGTTTAAACCATGATTTTCAACATTTATCCTAGAAATTGGAAAAGAAGTCCAGATTTCTTTAAATTGAATATTTTTTTTTTAACTCCGAAATCCTAAAGAAAATAACTTTAAGACAATTGGACAGTGATATGAAGCAATCCTCCCTAGATGATGAACCACACCTGGTTGTATAACCTTCAAAGCTGTTGAATTCAGGAGACATCTGTCCAGCCTTTCCAGAATATGAGCTCCCCCATTTTTGTTGTTGCACCATGTATACTTAAGACCCACGATCCCAGTGTCATGGAAATCACATCTATTCATAAATGAATGCATGTCTTGAGGTCCCTGAGAGAAAATGAACCTCTTACCTCCTCTCTTTTCCTCTTGTGATAAAATGCAGTTGTACTCTCCTCCCATAATGAATGGAATATTGACATTTGAATAGCTCTGTAATGTCTCCCATAACTATCTCATCTTGTATATGTCTTTACTTCCATAAATGTTGGCTATAAGCCAATCCCCTTTGTTGTGAATTTTGAGCAAACCAACAACTGCTTGATGGGAAGCATGGATGACTGAGAATGAGCAAATTATAGACTTCCAACAAACCAAAACTCTTCCTGAGAGACCCTCCGCTGGGACAAAAACAAATTCCCAGCTACTACCAATCAATTTGTTGACTTAAGATCTGTCAAACATCGTTATCTTCATTTTGACAATCCCAACAAAAAAAGAGTGATTTTTTCACAAACTCTCTCCAGTAGTGAGAGGCTTCAACCTTCCTAGCCCCTCTGCAATTCCAAAAGGCTAGAGATGTCATTTGTTTTAAGAATGGGATTGTTCCCATTCTTAAATTTCTTCACAGCTTCTCCTTTACTTCTTTGAGAAATAATATTATCTTTGCCCAGGGAATTTAATTCTTTAAGGAGATTTCCTTTATTTTTAATAAAATCAGCCATTCTCTCTATTTTAGTTTCAACATATATAATTTTACTACTCCTTATTTCTTTATCTTCCATCTCTTCAACCGTGGTCGCTACCTCTATTTCTTTGGAACAGAGATTGAGAATTTCAAATTTGTTAATGTCACCTACTGGAACATTAATCTTTGAATTTAAAAATCCAGAAGCTTCAGTATCCTCACTATGATCTCTAAGTTCGTTCTTTACTATCATCTCTTCAGTATTAACAACTTTAACAGGGAAATCTTCCACCTCATGAACAACTTCTGCTACTTTAGCCGACTGATCTGGAGCATCTGCAACAGCTTGTTCAGATGGGAATTTTGAAGTTCTAGAAAATTTTTGAACATACACTGCTTTATTTTTATAAAACTATCATTCTTCTGATTAACATTGCCTTTGACATGAACCATCTTCTTTCTTCTTTTCAAATCTTTGAGTAGAATCGAAGGCCCGTAAGTTTTGTCTGAATCATCTTCCACCCTCTGAGATGGTTGTGAAGGCTTTTCCATTCCTGAATTATTCACAGGAGCATCATGCCTTCCTTCCCTACCATCTTTGCAAAAATCTACTAAGTGGCCAACCTTTCCACATTTGAAACAGAAAGAGGACACTTTCTCATATTCTACCTTCTGAAAAAGTATTCCACAAGATCCTTACATCCAAACTCCAGTTGGAAACTATTGATCTAGAGTCATACGAACATATACTCTCGTATATTCCCTCTTATTCCATTGAAACATATTGCCATCAATCCAAAGCGGCTGTCCTATACTGGATGCAATCCTAGCCATGTTGTCTTCATCCCAACAGATTAGCGGGAGATGCGGAAAACTTACAAAAATTGGAGATGTTGATCCCTTCAATGATGAGGGGAAAAATAGTGGAGACCATCTATCTATCCCCACTATATGTCCATTGACATACCAAGGACCTCCTTCTAGAACTTGATCGACATCCTCTTTAGCAAAGAAAGAACATAAGATCCATCAAAGTCCTAAAGAAGTTATATGGAACTTCCCAAACATATTCCATTGTCATCTTAGCTCTCTAGCTATCACATAGATTGGAACTTTTTCACCAAATACTTTTACTACTATAGATAACTGTAGTTTCTCAGAATTTGTCTTCATATTTGATTCATTCAACTTGATTGATTTTCCATCTTTGGACAAAAAAGATTCATCTACTAGTAAATTGCATTTGATATTAGGTTTCTTTGTCCACAAATTTTGAACATCAGATCCTTGCCTCCATTCAATTCTTTCATCAGCATTGTTACGAGCATGTAGAGTGTTTTCCATAAGTTTGCTAGAAAATGATACTCCATCCAAAACCATAGGTTTAACAACATTATTGCTGAACCTGTTAACAAATAACTTCATACCCGAAGAAGAAGATGCTTCTTTGTCATAAACAGATGTTGGAAAACCAGTTTTTTTATGAATGATCCTCTCTGTATCTTCAATCACAATACCTTTTCCCTTCCCTAGAACTAGGGGCGATTTCTTAACAGCAACCAAAACTGGCTCGTTGATCTTCAAAGGTCTAACTTTGAACTTCATTTTAGAGATGTCAGATTTGCCAAAGGTCGATGGTGGATCGCTGGGAGGTATCTGAAGATCGACGACGAACGCCACGTCTTCATCTACCATTGTTGAATAGCCCGCCAAAAAAAATGAAAAATGAAAATTTTTAAAAATGGAATTTCTCACTCTAGAATCTCCGGGAGCTTCTCTCTCTAGAGCAAAAACTATGTGGGGAATTTTAGAATGATAGTATCATTAACTTCCTCTAAAGAGGGATATCTAGCAAGTAAAACATTATCATCTTGAGATATAAGAGAATGAATAATATTAGGATTATTAAGAACATCAGGAATGAAATTTTTGTTCAGATGATTCTGAAAGTGCAACACAGCTAAGTCCACCTTATCCCCAGAAAAGGAACCATCAGGCCTATTAATTTTATGAATGCAATTTGTAGAGCGCTTCCTTCACACTAAGGCATGTAAATAATTAGTAATACAATCCCTTCAACAAGATGTTTAATTGTCCCTTTTTGTTTCCAAAAATTTTCCTCTTGAGCATGCAATTTGTAAAGGCCCTCTTTAGCTTCTTTTAAAAGGCACAAGTTAGCCTCAAATGGAACCAATTGACATTGATTCTCCTAAAAAGACACTTTATCTTTAACAATTAAAATGTTGGAAAAATTATTCTTCTTAAAAACATTATGATTCCACCAATTTAAAACAAACTTGAGTATTTTCAAAGTAAACCACAATCTTGTCATACCAGATATAGAGTTATCCAAATGCAAAGGAGCATGCCAATTATTCATAACCAGATCCATAAAGGGATCATGAAGAAGCCACATATTTTGGAATCTAAAAGATGGGGAAATATCCCTCCTATTAGAATTTATTTTAATAAGAATTGGAGAATGATCAAAAAGTGCCCTACTAAGATGCTCCACATTCGTAGAATCAAATGAGTTCAACCAATTATCATTAAATAAAACCCTATCTAATCTTTTCCATAAATGCGCTCGATGCCAGGTAAACTTATCACCAAAAAAACTAATATCAGTGAGGTTACAATCCATGATCAAGTTATTAAAGTCCTCCATAGAATTATAGATAGGGAGAGAGCCCCCTATACACTCAGAAGGACAAGAAATGGTATTAAAACCTCCCCTGAAATGCCAGGGAACATTACATACATTATGAAACTGAACAATCCGGTCCCATAAAATCTTTCTTGTATAATGAGAAGAAGCAGCATAAATAAATGAAGCACAACATTGCATGTTAGAACTTTCAATATTACAGTGAATGACTTGAGTAAAATCAACGATGTCATCCACAAGAACAAACTTTTTCCAAAAGATCCAAATTTTATTAGCAACATTAGACAATGCATTTTTAAAACCCAAAAATTTAACAGTACTAAGTAACTTATCAGAAGAAAGAAGAGGTTCAAGTAAGATAAGCAAAGAGACATTAAAAATATGACATAAATTCTTAACTCTCACCTCGGAGGAAGAACAACCAATACCCCTAACATTTCAAATGATAGCATTAAACATAATAAACACTAATTAATTGAAAGTTTGCGAGCGGGTAGGTTGAGGAGAATGCAAAACAATTTTTTTAGGTTTCCTACCTCTCTTACCATGACCTTTAGAAAAACTAGTATTATTATCATCTCTAGCAAAACATTTGGCCATTAAATATATATCTTCATTATCAATAAAAACATCACTATGATAAAGCTCATTCGAGGGAAAATTACTTTCATTCAACGTACTAGAGTGCTCCGTAGAAAGAGGTAAAACCTCTTCACCGAAAAAAACATCACCTTCCATATTACTAAACTTGTTGGCCACATTATTCCCAAGCTTTAACACCTCGGGTTGAGAAGAATTTAGAGGCCCTTTAGTAATTTGAACAATACTATCATCTGGCAAAGCTTTTTTGCTCTAAGGGACAAAGCTCCCTCACAACTAATTTCCCTTTATCAAGACCACCATCCCCATAATTATCTTGAACTTTTTGCTGAATGACAATAGTAGAAGAATTAGTGATCAAATTCTTACGAATCTAGTTAAGGATTTATCAAGACCACAATCCCAATCAGTAATGAAGTTTACTAGTATCATCACTGACACCATTATACTTGAATATTATACATATTTTTAAGAATCTAGCTAATTGTAGGTTGGGATCCTAAATAGAAGATCACCCAAACTTAAAATTTAGAACCATCTGGATAATAATAGGTTTAAGCTCAAATTTATTGGCTTAGATAGTAGATCGATTGATACACTGATTTATTCCATATACTATCATTATTTATTTTTATTTTATTTTTCTAAGGGTTCTCTTGATCTCTAAATCAAACAAAAAGGGTTCATCGTTAGATCTACTACATATATATACACATATCACACAAGAATGAAAAGAGAATAATTAAAATAAACTTGTACATATAATAATTTTTTTCTTTTATTTTTCAAAATTTACACACAAAAAACATAAATAAGATACTAGATATAAGTAGGATTAAATATGCAACTCTTTTCATAATAAAATAAAATTTCAAGATAATATTTTACTTCCCCGGGAATGGTGCCAAAAACCTAATTTAGGATGTGAGTAAAATATACTTATGTTTTCTTTAGTATAACTACTTATGAAAGAATATAATTGCATGTTTTTTTTAGGGAAAACCCACGGAGGGGCCTACACGTTAATTATGGGAAATCGTCAGCTCTCGACTGCTGAAACGAACTAAAAAACAAAAGTAAAGAAAACCTACGAGCCAATAGTTTCCACTATCAAAAAACACAAATACCCTAGTAACATACTAAAGATGCTAAAGACCAGCATCCAAAAAAGAAAGACTAAAGGATATCTAGTACGTCCAGTCTTCCTGCCAAAAATGTTGAGAACCCGTATCCTCTGCAAAAAAGAAGAGACAAAAGAATAAAAAACTACAAATAGAAATATAGTTAGGATCACAGAGAATAATGTAAAGTAATTTCCATAATCCAAAAAGAAAAGCCTCCTTAGAGTAAAATTGCTAAAATAAGCCAGGAATAGAGCTGATAAGAAAATACTTATTACCATAGACCACCAGGTAAATGACAGCAAAGGATTGAGAATAAAAAGAAGGATCACAGAAATGCATACCACCCAGGGAACCATGAAGATCATCAGAGATATATGAAACCTGAGAGCTCAAAAGGAAACAACACAGACCAACGCTACAAAAAATTCCACCTAGTAACATACAGAGTACCCAATTTATCAAGATGCAGCAGCCCAATAAGAGGCCCAGGCATAGAAGAACCACCAAAATCAATAAAATTATCCAGGGTACAACCACAGTTGGCAAGCCAAACAACAGCAGCATTAGCAACTTTGGCAATCACAAAAAAAGATGGGTTCATAAAATAAAGCAGTTTCTTAATATCCTTAACAATATAAAAGATGCTCGGGTTGCATCCCTTATCCTCCAAGAAATATAAATAAGAAATGTTGACACCAGAATTTACCTCAATAACCAAGTTAGAGATATTCAACGAAATGCACCAGTTAAGACCATAAAGAATAACCATACAGAAAGCATACTCCAAACTACCATTAGAAATAAGACCAGCAAAAGCCAGCATCATCAACCCATTCGAATCTCTGATTAAACCACCACAACCAATAGCACCATCCACCTTACAGCCATGGATATTAAGCTTAAACTGATTGGCCATAGGTTTAATCCAAGAAGTAGCCATACCAACCTCAGAATTACCAGGCTTATACAAACCAAAATAAGGAGCTAACTGGTAATAATTAGTAAAGTTCTTTGCAGAGATTAAATTAACCGCCACAAGAGCTAACACTTTATCCTTAACCTTATGAATAATATTAAGATGATTCATCTTAACACCATTGAAAATAGAATTTTTTCTCTCCAACCAAATAAACCACAAAATAAAGATAGGGACAATATTACGAATGTTACCTTTGCCGTTAACCAGCCAAGCATTCAGAAAAGCCTTAAGAGGAAAATGAGCATTAAAAATATTCAAATAAAACATGTCATCAAAGAAAACCCACGTCTTAATAGCCACTGGATCCGAGAGAAAAATATGGTGCATAGATTTAAAATGGAAGCAACATTGACATTTAGAGGCAAAAGAAAAACCTTTTTTTAATAAGATTTTCTTCCGTCGGGAGCAAATTATGAAGAAATCTCCACATAAAAATAGATATAGTTTTAGGAATGCTCTTGTGCCAAATGATATAAAAGGCTTTATCAAAAGGCTTTTTATCCCTAAAAGACAACCAAACATGCTTGATATGGAAAGCCCAATCTTTAGAGCCCTCACACAAAATAGTATCTTTAGTATGAGAATTAAAAGCTAATTTAAGAATCATATTAATAATATAATTAGGCACAAAATTAGAAAGCTTGTCCACATCCCAACCATTGTCTTTAAACAAAAAATTCACTTTAATAGATTCAAAAGAAGAAGTATGCAAAAGAGAATCAATAGAATCCTTACTAATCCATTTATCCTGCCAAAAAAACACATTACCGTAAACAAGCCCCCAAAGGATATTGGATTCCATTTCCAATTTAAACTTACACAACCTTTTCCAAACTTTAGAATATAATTGCATGTGTCAAACTAGAAATAAAAGTTATATGAGGGAGTGCCAATCCTACAAGGACTTGTTTTGCTATAATACAAATGTGCTAATAATGTCTATTAAAGCTATAATGTTAATCCTACACATTGAAAATTAGGTTTGGAATCTATCTTGAGTAAGAAATGTAAAAGAAATCTAAAATGCTAGTACTTAAAGTGTTTTGGACTAATGATAATGAATTTATAAAGCTTTCCTAAGTAGACTCATTATTGTTATGAATTAGACCATATGTATTCCTAGATCCCATCATGAGTATATGGAAGTGAACAAGGTTTGTGGCCCTCCTACAGTTATTATTTATGTATAGACTCTAGGACATTAAACATCCTATATATAGGTAAGCAAGAGTTTCATTTCAATACACTTAATTATTCAAATATTCCTCCATCAAGGAAATATATCACACTATATTTAAGTATACATATAGCCATCATATAGATT